GTAAATAAAAGGTGTTATTATTTCCAACTGGTCATACAGTAGCTCTGTCTATCACTGAAGCTATAAATCATGTCTTTGGCTTTCTCAGGGGTATGCCGTTCCCTTTCCTCTTAATCTGCAAGATTTGCATGCTTGGTTGACTATATAGAATTCTGTTTTTAGCTCAATGACCAGCTGCTACCCTCCAACTGCGGCACATACAACGGTCTTTCCACATTTGCTTTCAAATAACATGGTTTCAGGTGTTCAGTCACACACATTTGTCTTGCACTTGTGGTTTACCAGAACTTAACAAAACATGGATTTTTGGGGCAGAATGTTGAAGCTGTTTTTCAGCTCTGTTCGCTGACATTATCGCAGCACCATATGTGGGTTTATGTCTTTTTTTTTATTTTTATTTTTTTTTATTAAATGCTGAGGGATTTGCTCCGTGGAGGAAGGAGGCTACAGTTCTGCCGGCAAGAAAGATAAACATGAAATAACGCCTTCAAGCTGCTTCATTTTGTTTTGGAGGTCAATTCTTTTCTTGAAATACCTCTGTTAAGCCATAGGACCTAAATATTTGCTGGTTTGTTAGAAAATTGGTTCATTTTCTTTGATTTCTGGTTGAGCTACCATGTCATTTATATGCAGTTTTTTTTTTTTTTGTCACCTCATGATGCAATAACATGCAAAGCAATTTGTCAAAATCGGTTCCTCATGCTCGGGGGAAAAAAGGCAGAGAAACATCTCACTTCGTAGCTGCACATGATGGTGTGTGCAACTGTAAAATTTAAGAAGCCAGCCTTGTTGTGTTGCATGCCGTAATAAAAGGTGCACATATTTTTGTTCAGATATTCCTCCTGGCAGAAGAGACATCCATCACCCAGACTGGAGGAACCTGTCTATCTCCTCCTCCTAATTGGTCATCCAGCTGTCAAGCTGGGATTTTTGCCCTTTGGCCAAATCATGAATTGTCAGTCACCATGGTAAACCAAGGGCAAAACATTGAGAAATGGGCTGGCAGAAAAAAAAAGAAAGAAACAAAGAAACAAAGCCAATACAGGAAAACAGCTGAAGCAGAACAAATTCCACAGAATAATTATCTGAGCTGCAATGTAAACAGCAAGTTAAAACAATCCATACTGGGACCTTTGCACAATGACTAACAATTTAGGAAATCTTGTCTATAGGCATTTGTTGTTTATTTTCTGAGTCGTAGCAGCTGTTTGTGCATAAAACACAATTTTCTGCAGTGAACACATCCTCTGTGTATCCCTCATTGGAAATTCTGTTGCTTTTTATTTTATTTTTTTTTTGAAAGCAGAGATGAAACGTTGACCCCTCTTAAAGAAGAAGAGTGTTGTAGTACCGCGCACCCCTTTTTCCATTCCACTCGCCTGTCACTTTAGACAGCCTCTCAGTTGAGAGCTCTCTAAGATCAGCACTAAACTCTCTTCTTATTCTCAGGAAGTGTTAGAGGAAGCACTCTCCTCATAGTGGGCTTTTCTTAGACTCCTAGGGCTCATTGCATATTCATACCTGCCTCTAGAGTTAAGAGCATAAAAATACAAAAAAGGTTTTAATTATTCACTGTCATATTGTCAATATGCTTCTTTTGTTCTCAGTTAAGTATCCATCCCGTATCTGCCTGCCAACATGGAGATCATTTTCCCACGAGCTCAACCTGTTAAAACACTTTTATGCATCACTTAACACTGCAACACAAATACTGCAAATACAGTTACTGCTTGGATGGGAAATTGAGAGACTGCAATTCATCATCAGATGTTGGACCACTCTGGTGAATCCTTTTAGCCTAAACATTGTGCTGGCTAAAATATATCTATTGCAAACCGACCCTTAATGTGCAGTAAAATCAACGTTCTTGATTTTACTGCACATTTTAATTATTTTTAATTAGAATGAAAAAGTAAACATTCTACTTTTTAGTTTAATGGTGTCTATTTAAAGATTTTTTTTTTTTTGCAACGCTCTTAATTTTTTTTCTTGTAATGGCAACACGTTTCGTACCAAATCATGCCAGTTTTTTTTATTTCTTTTGTAGGATTTATAAGAGAATACAAGAGAACATTCAAATTATTTTGCATCTTTCTGCTGTGAACAGTCAATTATTTATCAAAAGCAGTGGCATTGTTGTGCTGCTTGTGTGACAGCTTTTGGACTAGGCAGTTTTGCTTGATCTGAGTCTAGTCAAAATATATGGCTCTAAGTTAGTACTACTAGTATACACATCAGTGACCCATGTCTAAGTTGAGCCTAGTCACAGTTTGAAAATCTGTTACTCTCACTTTTTTCATAACCTAAATGAACTGCAGACATCTTTTTGCAGGTTGGAGAAAACATTTCTATTTTTTCCTTGAATTCATTTTAAGCATTTGGTACTGATGACAGTTTACTCTGAGTAATTTTCACTCACAAAAATTATCCAAACTAGAAAGTGTTGTTGTCACTACTTATGGAAAAGATCAGATTTTAAGGTTCAAATTTCTCTGTGCATGTTTAGTTTTTGTCTATTAAAGGAGGGCACCATACTTGTTGGAATTAAACTGAAAATGTAATATCACAGTGCAAAAATATAGTTCTTTAAAGTAAGAAAAGTAGTAGTTTGCATACATTTCTTGTAGTTACTCATCTTTTGTGTGGTCTTGAGGCTGTAAAAGGTTTATTACACCCACTGTTTCAAATGAAAACCCCTGAAAAAACACAAATTTACTTGGTTGACAGTCAAATACTCCTGATTTCCTGGAATTTGTATCTAATTAGAATGTAGTACAGTGATTCACTAATCTTTTTGCTTTTAATTAAAACCCTGGCAGACATTGTAGGAAGTCTACAAAGCAATGGCCTATAATGAAACCCACATGACAACCAGCTCTAATTAAGGAGTTTCTATGTTTTTTCCCATTCCCTCTGTAAGAGTGCCTGAAGAATATTTTTGACTGCATGTCCATGTAAGACGAGAGAATTCCAGTAGGACTAGTGTTTACTAGTTTTCAGCATGCATTCACGCCATTCCTGTGAGTGATAAAATTCAAATGATCATACGTAAACATGTCCTCGCAAGCGAAAACGAAAAATGATTCCTACGCATTCCCGCGAGTACCTCTGTGTCCTCCTGACTAATACCCGGCACGTCTTGCTGAGCACTCGCGCTCTGCCTCGGCTGGGACCGAGAACGAGACTGTGGCTGACAGGGGTGAGCTATGTGCTGCTCTGCCTCACGGGAGGTAATGAATCTGTGTGGCTGCCGAGACTCAAGTGTAGACAGCAGCAGGAAGAAAAGTGATCAGTCTTTCATATGGAGGTAGTGCTTCTGGGTCACTGATAGCACGAGTGAGATAGACATAAAACAAGAGTAAAGAAGCGGGGGGGGGGGGTTGCCCGAGAGAATGATTAAATAGCAAAAGACAAGTGAGAATGGTAGGTCAGAATAGAAACAGACAAAAGGAATGTGCGGCTTCAGAGAGAAAGAAGTTGGGTTTGGGCGAAGAGAATGATGCGTCATCCAGCCAATGTTAACATTCCTACAGAAATGTGCTCCCTGTTCCCCCACAACACTCTCTAAACCACCACAAAGGGGGTTTATTATTCTCACTTTTCTCCCCCACTAATTATCGTTATCATTATGGGGTATAATTACCATTTCACTGCCTAACACCCATGCAGACTCTGAGTCACTCAGAAGGTTATCAATAGCTGCTCAATTGCAGTCTCATCTGCTTAATTATAAGATTTATGCTTTGTGATAACTGAATGGATGTGAAATCAAGTATTATGTCTTGCGAGTATTGGTGAGATTCTGAAAGTCAGCAGAAGGCTCTGAAATAAAGCATTGCTTTTGGAGGCTGTTAATTAAAATCTGCGGCTTTCTCTGGCATATAAATCAGAGAAACTAGAAGGTTATGAGAAAAAAATAAATAAAGTGTCTGGAACATTATCCAATCTTGTACAGCACTGAAAATGTAAGGAGAAAACCAAATCCTTTTAGTCAAAACTTTAGATCCTCTGTCTTTGATTCTGCTTGGTCCACTACCTTTGTAAAAAAAACTTTGACATTTTATCAGATTTATGCAGTTTTCTTTGACAAGGATCTACACACTTAGCTTGAATTCAGTTATTTCAACTTTATCATAAGAGTGAAGTGCCACAGAGTGCATTTATCTAGCAGACCTGTGTCGTGGTCCCAGGGTCTGACTTATGTTAAGATTAGTAGCCATGTTTGTCAAGGGGGTTTCTAAATCCCTCTGTGGCATTTTGGAGTTGCAGCTGACGCCTCCAAACTGATGAATGGTGTCTCCATCTGTGGCAGCTAAACCCTAGAGCACAGGAGGGATACAAGCTGGAGAAATTCATTAGACCTGCTGACTGTAGCTGAGTGAGCAGTGGAGCTAACACCACATCTTGGGTGGGAACCCAGACTCGAGGGCATGGGTACAAAGATTATGGAAAAGAGGCAGAGAAGGTGACCATATGAATGTCTCACTGAGCATATGATGGAGAGTTGGACCAGGCTAGAGAAATTTGTGCCACAGGTTTCCTCCTGTCTGTCAGGAGGCACATCCTCTTTGACCCCAATTACTAGAAGTGTTTCTTTCCAACAGCTAATCCGCGGTATATATGGTGTCGCCTCCAGTGTACCGCAGAGACTTACTTTTCAAGCCAGTTGTTTTCCTGAAAGATGTTGGGATAATGGCATTGTTCTGCTGACCTGGATGTGTTTGTCCTGTGATGAAATTACCAAAAAAGCTACTTTAATAAATGCTGATACTGAAGATGACAATTTAACTGTAGGTTTCTTAAACCAAGAGTCTGAAAAACTATAATTTACATCCTAAAATGTGATTAGATTATGTCCAGATTGTTCAAAATGATATATGAACAGACATTAACTGATTTTTTTTTTTGAATGATTATGTTAATGTCATAGTTTTCCTTTCAGCAGAGCATTCACAGGAGCCGATTATCTGACCCCCATCTCTTCTCCTATTTCCCCGCAGAGATGCTCATGGATTCCACCACAGCCACGGCAGAGCTTGGCTGGACGGTCTATCCTGTGTCGGGGTCAAGTGACAATAGCGTAAGTGACTTAGTCTACTCTCCCTGCATTCTTACTCCAAATATCCCATTTACATTGTGTTTTTACCCTCTGCCTTTGCTCAAAATCACTTTGCTAAAACAGCGACATACACATGTTTGTAATTGTTTAGTTTTGTTGTTTTCTGCTACTTTTACTGCATAAACCTTTTGAGAAAAATCACATTAGATATCCATAACTTTTGCTATGTTAACCCTTTAACTGCCAGTTTTTCTTTTTACCCATTGTACATATTTTAAAACAGCCTCAAAATTCAAAGTTGAGTATATCCTAGGAGCTTCTTGTACAACTGGTGCTGGGGTATGCAATTTATCTTGGAAACTTATTGCTCAACTACCTACATCAGCAGGAATTCACTGGAAATTGGAGATGCATGCACAGACACCATTTTCTCAACACACTAGCCGCAGTTATCTGAATCTACATCTATGTCCAAATTGTGCAATTTATTCGCTTCGTTGAAGTGCAGTACGCCATCATATTCCATGATTGGAAACTAAGAACAACACGTGAAATTATACCCTTTCCCTATGTGGACAAAAGCAGCTGGCAAAAAAAAAAAAAAAAAAAAAAAAAAAAATTAAAAAACTCTTATAAGCGGGAATGTTGTTTAAATGTTTTTCATCAAAGCGTAACAC